TTTTCTTATATGAAAATTTAGATATATTCTTGCTCTTATATGAGATTATTTAAATCTTGTTTCTTCCTTTGATTTTTTTGTCATGACATTCATTTAGTCACCTGATTACATGAAATAGGGCATTTCAGGGTGTTCTTTTTCTTACAACGTATATTTAATAAAAATGCTGTGTATGGAGAAATGTGTCAGTATTTTATTTTAAAGGAAAATATACAAGCTTGAAAATTAAGCTGGCGTATGCTTATTTTCCCTAAAATGCAGGAGAACAATTCTTTAATTAATTATTAAAACACATTCTATTAAATCATTCATTTCTCTGGGGATGGAGCTCTTACATGTGCAGAATTTTAGTAGAGAAAAGAGTAACTGTATAACAACTATAAATTGAGTTTGTGCTAAAATAATTTGAAGAAATTAATTCAATAACAAAAATGTAGTCTGTTATGATCTAGGTATTATGCTAGACATTGGGGATTTAGCTGAGGAAAATACAGTCTTCTGACCTCATAAATCTTACATTCTGGTGGAGGGAGACAGGTGAAAAGAAGTTCAAGTAGTAATAAGTTCAGTGAAAGAAAGAAAACAGGATAATGTGATAGAGACTGACTTGAGAAGTGGGGTGGGAGGGAAGTTCTCCCTAAGGAAGTGATATTTGACAGAGATCTGAAAGATGAGGGAGGAGTTAGGTGAGTGCTCAGCAGAGGAAACAAGTACAAAGGTGGTGAGGCAGGAAGAGTCTTGTGGGCATTTCAAGAAAAGAAACAGCACATATGGGCCAAAAGTAGTGAGGGAGGGATTCTACTTGCAGAAATATATCTGAATCTGCATTTCATTCTTTTGCAACTAGATTTGTGAGTGCTCTTCTCTTATACATGCAGTTGAGTGAGTTGCTTTGAGTAATGCTTCTGAACCTTACAACTTCATCAGAACTCTACCATTGGTCTCCATATCACAGATCCAGAATCCATATAGGGTGATCCCCGACTCTTAAATTTACAAATCATAAAAATAAAACCAAACCCATTGCCATTGAGTCAATTTTAACTCATAGTGACCCCCACAGGGTTTCCAAGCCTGTAAATCTTTATGGAAGCAGCTGGTGAGTTTGAACTGCCAACCCTTTGGTTAGCAGCCCACTGCCTTAACCATAGTGCCACCAGAGCTCCTTTTTACAGATTATACAGGGTGTTTTGGTTATCTACTGCCACTCTGATGACTTTAATAAACAGGAGTTTATTCTCTTACAGTTTTGGAGGCTTTAAGTCTGAGTTCAAAGTGCTAAGCTCTAGAGGCTGAATGAGAGCCCCTCAACCTTGGGCTTCAGCTGTGCCTCCTGCTCCTGGCCTACTGCAGCTTGAGGCTTTTATTCACTCAGCTGCTGGCTGCTGAGGCTGACAAGCCCAAGGATGACAACTAAAAAGGCACAGTCCCGAAAGTACCAAACCACACAGCAGGCCATTAATTCAAGTCCATTGAAAAGTCCCAAGGTTGGCAGAGCATGACAGGCTGCTGAACAATGACATAGTTACATACAGGGTTTAAGCATGCCATAAGCTAGAGACTATTCCCAAAGCTGTTTCTTATATATGGGAAGGAGACCACATCCCTAAAGCAGCTACTTAGCTGCTCCAGTAGATTCCACCATGGAGCTAATTGTCTATCTCACCATGGGGAATAACTACGACCAGCTGCCCAGCCAGTCAACCAGGCCCAGCCAAGTTGACACACAAACTTAACTACCACACCAAACCAAACTCACTGCCACTGACTCGGATCGGACTCACAGTGACCCCTCCTTGGGTTTCTGAGGCGGTATCACTACAGAAGTAGATTGACCAACCTTCCTTCCAAGGAGTGGCTGGTGGGTTTGAACCACCAGCCTTCTGGTTAGCAGTGAAATGCCTTAGGCACTGAGCCACCAGAGCTCCTCACAGAGGATGTTAAAATACCTCAATTTATACTGAATAAAAGGAGCCCTGGCAGAGCAGTGGTTAAAACACTCAGCTCCTGACTTAAAGGTTGATGGTTCAAACTCACCAGCCATTCATAGAGGGAAGATGCAGCAGTCTGGTTCTATAAAGATTCATAGCCTTGCATGCCCTATGGAGCAGTTCTACTCGCTCTTATAGGGTCATTTTAAGTTGGAATTGACTCGATGGCAGTGAGTTATACTGGATAAAGAATGTACCAGAGTGACAAGAGAGGATATTCTGCACCTTTGTTGTTGTTATGTGCCCTCGAGTTGGACACGACTCATAGCGACCCCTCCTTGGGTTTCCGAGGCAGTATCACTACAGAAGTAGATTGCTCCATCTTCCTTCTGAGGAGTGGCTGGTGGGTTTGAACCGCCAGCCTTCTGGTTAGCAGTCAAGTGCCTTAGGCACTATGCTACCAGAGCTCCCATTCTGCACCTTAAATGATCCAAAAAACTAAAGAACAGTATGCAGTTGCAACATTGGTTTACTTTAAAGGAGGAATGCCCTGATGTTTTGGCATGCCTCCTAGAATTATCCATTAAACTAGAATTTCTCCAAACTTTGGAAATTATTCCAGTCATTGTGAGAGTCCTCTGGATGATGAATTAATCACCTAAGTACAGAAGTTTGAAAAAGCATCATAGTAAAGTGGTTTTCATATTTTTGAGCCAGCCAAATATACACACATATATATCTGAAAATATTCTAAAATTCTTTGGAATTTTTGGATGAATGGGGGTTAGAATTATTCCGCTACTGATAAAATTTTGTGGAACTACTAACCCCAGTTCATCCGAAAGTTTCAGAAGGCTTATCCAGAGGACTCCCAGGAGTACTGGAATAATTTCCCAAAGAAGGGTTGTTAGGAGTCAGAATCGGCTGGAAGGCACACAACAACAGTGTCTCACCCCCCATACACACACACACTGGCCACAAATCTTACAGTGACCAGTTTTGACATTCTATAAACTTGGAACTGTATTAAACACGGAATGGACCTTTACGATCTACTATGGACAAGACAAAACTAAATGATACAATAGATGATCAACTCTTGAAGTACACATATGAAAATAACCTGGTGTGGTGGGAATCTTACTAAGGCCTGTTAAAGAGGACTTAAATGATGAGAAAGATATGCAGTACTTAAGAAATAATGGGGCCAAAAGTGTTGGCGGGGATGAAACATCAACCTGAAGTACAAAGTTATTCTTAGTTGCCATGGAGTGGATTCCAAGTCATAGCAACCCCAGGTGTGAGGAGTAGCACTGCTTGAGAGAGTTTTCAAGGCTATGACATTTCAAAAGCAGATTGCCAGGCCCCAAGTGGCCTCTGAGTGGGTTTGAACTGCCAATCTTTTGATTAGCAATTGAGTACTTAACCATTTGTGCCATCCAGGGGCTCTGAGTTGGAAATATTCCTGACAAATATGAGATATGCTAGAGTAAATTTATAAATTGCTTTAAAATCTAAAATTTAAGGGCACCATTAAGATTTTGGTACGGTTGTTGTAGGAAGCAATAGAATTATTCAAGAGATGTAATTTCTGGCTTTTCCCCTTAGCTTCCCACCCCCTTAGCTTTTTAAAGGAGCTCTGGTAATATAGTGCCTAAGGCATTTGGTAACCAGAAGGCTGGTGGTTCAAACCCACCAGCCTCTCCTCGAAGGGAAGGTTAGGCAATCTACTTCCGTAGTGATACTGCCTCGGAAACCCAAGGAGGGGTCGCTATGAGTTGGGGTTGACTCGATGGCACATAACAACAACGTAGCTTTTTAAGGCGCAAGGCAGTAGGGATATTCTATAGTGGTTAATCTTTTTAAATAAAAGCTTGACTAAAAAAATGAATTTAGTCAAGGAAGTAGCACTAACTGAGCTTCAGTCAGCTTTTGCTTAAATAAGAGCCATCTTTTAAAATGAGATTGATAAATGTGAAGCTGAACCAGAAACCACTGCAAGGATTGTGGCGAGTGCGTCCTAAAAATATGCTTATCCATTGGTTTCACGTCGGTACACTTGAATTCATGGGATAAATGTGTGACAGCAAGAATGATATGGCGATTTCAGATCACAAGAAAGTTGTTAAAAAAAAAAAAAATACAGCCTTTAGAAATGAAGTAGCTAGCTTGATGTAAGTACGCATACGGACGCAAATAAGGAGCTCTCCTTTCTGCTTTAGGTAATGTGCACCGGAATATGAAATGCTTTTGCAAGGGGCACAAGGGGTTTCGACTAAACGTGAAGTCGTCAGAGACTCAACATACCGCTGCATCTTCAGTTAATGTGCGCAGGACACGGCGGGGGAAATTACCTCTGTTTCAGACTAGCAACTCCGGCGTGGAGAAGGTGAACCTGGCCGTTCACCTCCCACGCGGAGCGAAGCAGCCTGCTGTCGCCGGAGGGCGCAAGGGGAGAGGGTGGGGCTTCCTTCGAGCCCGCCCTGCCGCAGGCCCCGCCCGCCCCCGAGCTGCTGGCCCTTGAAGCCAACCTCACCACAAGCCCCGCCCTGATGTCGTCGGTATCGCGGAGCTCAGGATGACGTGACGGGAGAATCGCGAACATCTCGGGCGCAGCTTGACTGGCGGTTCCACAGTCCCAGAGCCCGACGTGCACAGCTTCTCTCGGAGATCCTCTCCCACCGATCCCCCGTCCTCCTCTCGTGGCTGGCCGCCCACCGCGCGGCCCCTGCAGCTCCTGGCACGGCCCCGCGCTCTGCTGCCGCCCTGGCGCGCGCCACTCTGTCGTCCCCGGAGGGGCGCGGACCAGCTCGGCCCGGGCGCCGGCGGCTAGGAAGGGGGCGCTGGCCCCGGGGCCGTGCATGCGCTGCCACCAACCTGGGGCTGTCAGTGGAGGGCGAATGCTGGTTCCTAGGGGAGACGACACCCTTCGGGGCCAACGGGCCGCGCTCCGAGGCGGCCGTGGGAACGACTCATCCGTTTTCCAGCCGTGGGGCGGGGCTGGAGTCGGGGTCGGGGCCGGTGGGGGCCCCGCCTCCGTCCCCTGGCCTGCCCCCATCATGGGCTGCGATGATGGCGGCCCTGTACCCGAGCACGGATCTCTCGGGAGCCTCCTCCTCCTCCTTGCCTTCCTCCCCATCCTCCTCTTCGTCGCCGAACGAGGTGATGGCGCTGAAGGATGTGCGGGAGGTGAAGGAGGAGAACACCCTGAATGAGAAGCTTTTCTTGCTGGCGTGCGACAAGGGTGAGAGCTCGGCCCCTTTACCTGTCTTCTAGACACCCCTGCCCTCCACACGTTCATCCTCTCCCATTCCTCAACTTACTCGCGGCAGTTGATCTTTCCCACGCGCTGAGCGTCTGCTCCCGCCGCGCCCGCTCCCTCCCAGGGGCCGCCCGCACTGCCTCTGCTCTGCAAGTGTGCGCCTTGCGGGCGGGGGCCGGGGGCGGGGGCTCTGTCTGGGGCCTCCCCTCTTGCGATCCGATGTTTAGGTAGCATCTTGGGGACGCGGACACTTGGATTCTTGCCCCGCCCCTGCCACTGACCTTGTGAATGCATTGGTTTACTTCTTGGAATCTCAGTTCTTACCTTCTGGGAACCAAGGGGGTTTGTTTTCTTTCTCCGGGACTTTCCAGTCCTGTAATTCCACGACCTTCCCTTAAGGTTCCTTGTGTTTATGGGCTGTCACTTGGTTTTGCTTTTCTTTTAAAATTTTACTTCTGTTATTTTGCTTCAGCTGTCAGCCTAGTGCCGTAGCCGATAGCTGTTCAGTGACTGCCGAATAGAATTAGGTATCTCTGTATCCTAGACGGAGATCTATCTATAAACGCTGGAGAAATTCTGCCTTAGTCTCCAAAGCTTTCTTCAGACTTATGGGTGGTTCTTGTTTTATGGGAGAGAATGAAGGGGGGCTTATTGTCCCTGAGCCTTCTATGGGAAATTAAGATAGGGCAAAATAATTACGGGACAGGAATATGTGAATTACATTTAGTGTGCTTTCCTTTTCTTTCTTTCTTTTTAAACTAGAAATTGATGGCTGTTATGGCCAAATTAAAGTCTTCACTTAAGCATGCTTTCTAGTGATGCATATAATAAAAGGAATGGGAAATTGATTGCCCCAAGACTGCTTTTATTTCCTGCATGTAAAAAAGTACTGAAAAGTTTCTATTTCTAAATTTATGTGGCTTGCTGTACAATGGCCATGCTCACTTAGGAAAACTTTGTTTACAATAATGCACACTTCCAAAACATAAACCCAGGACAGTTTACAATGTGGAAGGATTGACTGCAGAGGATTTTGTGTGTGTGTGTGTGTGTGTGTGCCTGTGTGTGTTCGTGTTTTTAATAAATGGCAGTCTTCCTAACGTCCTTACTGCTTTAGAAATAGCATTTTATTTACACAACTGTTTGAAAACACATTGATGTATAAATAAGGTCCACCTATGTATGCCACTCCTCGAAAGGAAGGTTGGGCAATCCTACTTCCGTAGTGATACTGCCTCGGAAACCCAAGGAGGGGTCGCTATGAGTCGGGGCCGACTCCACGGCGAACAACAACAATGTATGTCTTCAGGAGCTCTGGTAGCGTAGTGCCCAAGGCACTTGACTGCTATCCAGAAGGCTGCACTTGACTGCTATCCAGAAGGCTGGCGGTTCAAACCCACCAGCCACTCCTCGGAAGGAAGATGAGGCAATCTACTTCCGTAGTGATACTGCCTCGGAAACCCAAGGAGGGGTCACTATGAGTCGGGTCCGACTCAACGGCGTATAACAACAACAATAACATGTATGTCTTCAAGACACGTTTATGTTCATATGAGATAGTGTATTTGTTGAAAGTCCACCATGGACATAACTTTGATTAAATGTTAAGAAAAATAGAATATATATCTATAACCTGACAAAAATTATGGTCTATGGATTATATAAAATTATTTAGTATTGCTGGAATGGCTTGAGTGAATTCTGTTCCCTCAAAAATTCTCCACAAGAGGAGGAGGAAAGATTGTATGTTGTACCAGAATGAGGAAGAGCTGTTGGTTGCATCAACCCCAACTCACTGCAGCTGTGGTTACTTTAAAGCAAACAGAAAATCTGTCAAGAAAGCAAATTTGATATGCCTGTCAAATTGAGGTAGAGGAATAGCAAAATAGAATATAGTTGTAATGGGCACTTTTATGGTATATATATATTTAGGAATACTGTATCACTTATCTCAAATAAAAGGGAGTTTTAATATAGCCTATCCAGTAGTGCCAGTAGAAGGAGTTTGGTCTTCTTTGTCAGTATCCCATTTTATAACAGCATTAAGATCCCCGGAATGATGTGCCTTTTGGGGATGAGGTGGAAATTAAACATGCGTACTTTGCTTCCCCTGTACAAATTAAAAGTAAAAACTTTTAAAATGATTGGGATTAAATGGGTATCTTCTATGTTTCAGTGTGTTAAAACAAATTCTTGGGTTACATTTAGGAAAATGGCATATTTCCTTTCCATACATATGGTATCATTTACATTGCAATTAATTTGACTTATAGGAACATATATATAGGAGCTCTGGTGGCATAGTGTCTAAGATATTTGACTGCTAACCAGAAGGCTGGCAGTTCAAACCCACCAGCCACTCCTCAGAAGGAAGGTTGGGCAATCTACTTCCGTAGTGATACTGCCTCGGAAACCCAAGGAGGGGTCGCTATGAGTCGGGGCCGACTCGACGGCACATAACAACAACAGCAACAGTATTGTTAAACCTTGTTTAGTATTGCCCAAACCACATCTAAAAGTGAAGCATTTTCTGAGGTAGCAATAACTTCCATGATTATACTGGAACCTTCATTAAACCAAATGGTAAACTTTTACTAAAACATAGACTGGGGTAGAGTGCTTTTCAAAGATAATTTCAGTTAATCCTTACAGCCCCATGAACAGATCTGTTATTATCTCCATGTTATAGATGAGGAAAATGAGGTTAGCAAAATTTTTAAATTAATATGCCCAAGGTTACATTACTCAGGAAGTAGTAAAATGGGATTTATCTTGATCCTGCACTCTTACCCACTATGTTTTATTAATCTGGTTATAGTTGAATGAATGAAAATCATTTATGATAGAAAAGGCACATCTACAGAAAAGGCACATCTACATTTAGAGTTAGTTGGAGCTCTGGTAGCATAGTGGCTAAGACACTTGCCTGCTAACCAGACGGCTGGCGGTTCAAACCCACCAGCCACTCCTCGGAAGGAAGGTTGGGCAATCCTACTATCCGTAGTGATACTGCCTCGGAAACCCAAGGAGGGGTCGCTATGAGTCGGGGCCGACTCGACGGCACATAACAACAACAACAACAGTTCAAAATTAACTTGCTTTCTATGAATGTTTTATAAACCTTCATTTCTGTGTAGTAAATTTACCCAATAAAGATAAAAAGCACTCATGGTACTTGAGTAGCACCAGAGTAAATCCACTCTAAACATCTTTTTTATTACCTTTTTCAGTTAGCAACTTTCTCTACATGTGCAAAAAAAAGAGAGAAAAAAATTGTGACATACCACACTTAGGGAGAATTCCTAAAGCAAAAATTGTGGAGAAGAGGTGGTTATGTGTAAGTGAATGGATAGTCCTCTAAAGGTGTATACAAGATTGAGGAGTAAAGAAAAAAGTGAAAGAGAAAAAGGAAAAGATTTAATAGTTTGTAATAACTGGCTTTTATGTAAATGAATTCAAATAGATCTAGGCAAGTGTTGGAGTCCCTGGGTGGCACAAACGGTTAGGGGCTATGCTGCTAACTAGAAGGTAGATGATCTAAATCCATCCAGAGGCAACTCGGAAGAAAGGCCTAGTGATTTACCTCCAAAAGGTCATAGCCATTGAAAAACAACTTTTTTCTTAAAGACAACTTTTCATGGAGCAGAGTTCTGCTCTGAAAAACATGAACTCATCATGAGTCAGAATCAACAACAGGACTTTTTTTTTTTTTTTTTTGGTCAGGCAAGTGTTGATCCAGGCAGTTATTGATCTTAAAATGGATCATCTCAAAGGTAACACTGAGCCTTTCTTTGTATAAAATTTAATTGAAACAGTGAGCTAAAAAGTTCATGTGCCAGCGATATGCAGTTAAGCCTGGGTCCTCAAGCAGAATTCTCGGAAAGCACACTCATATTTTTTCAAACATGGAACCACTCTGCAATTCAGAGCTGACTATATATGTGCTGTTTTATGAAATCTTAATCAGTGATTCTTCATATCCATGTCCTTTCCCTCTCTCATTCAGAGTATGATAATGAGCCATTTTTATTTATTGGAGCTTGCTGGCAGGAGAAAGGGTTAATAATAAGTTTATGTAGGGAGCATCTAAACTAAGTCTCTAGTCCCTTGGTGGTGCAAACAGTTAAGGTGCATGGCTGCTAACCAGAAGGTTGGTGGTTTGAGTTCACTCAGAAGTGCCTCAGAAGAAAGATGTGGTGATATACTTCTGAAAAATCAGCCATTGAAAACCCTGTGGTGCACAGTTCTACTATGACACCCACAGGGTTGCCATGAGTCAGAATCAACTGTGACAACACGCATCGTTCTGCCTGCTTCAGCCTTGGAACAGGGTAGACCAGCACCCAGATGGGGTGGTGAAGCTGTAAACTAAGTCTAGTTTGTGTTAATTCTCCTCTTCTAAAGTAATGAAGCCCTGGCGGTACAGTGATTAAGCCCTGGGCTGCTAACCAAAAGGATGATGGTTCCATCCAGCCACTCTGTGGGAAAAAGATGTAGTGATCTGCGTCTGTAAAGATTGTTGTTGTTAGGTACCATGGAGTCAGTTCTGACTCATAATGACCCTGTGTATAACAGAACAAGATGTTGGTCAGTTCTCAGAGTTGTTGTTATGTTTAAGCCCGTTGTTGCAGTCACTGTGTCTGTCCATTTCATCGAGGTCTCCTTTTTCCACTGACCCTCTACTTTACCGAGCATGATGTCCTTCTCCAGGGACTGATCTCTTCTGATAACATGTCCAAAGTAAATGAGACAAAGGCTCACCACCCTTGCTTCTGAGGAGCATTCTGGCCTTAAAGATTACAGCCTTGGAAACCCTATGGGGCAGTCCTACTCTCTCCTATTGGGTCACTGAGTTGGAATCAACTCAGCAGCAACAGGTTTTGGGGTTTGTTTTAAATATATTGTATTATTTGTGAGCATAAACACACATAAACCAAAACCAAACTCACTGCCGTGGAGTCAGTTCTGACTCACAGTGACTC